TCGCGATTTTAGGTAATTATTTCACGCAGGTAGCAAGAGTGACAGAGGCCTGATATTACATACAAATATAAGAGTAACTTAATATACACAATAATGCAACCCACAGTGCTATTCACAGATTATCTCTTGGGATAGATAATTAAGACGCTAGGAGACCTGCAGCTGTATAGAAGGTATTATATAAATGTCAAAGTAGGGTCAACAAAGTAATGTCAACAAAACATGCCGGACAATTTAATGTGACTAAGGTAACAAACAATTATTTGAAAAGTGTCTTGTATAAGAGACCACGAAAATTTTCCTTTGAGCATGTAAAAATTTCCATATGATCGGAGGTATCATTATATGTGGCAACCATACGCCGAATCGGTGAACGAATACCGGTATTGGATCGACAGGTAGTTGCGGCAAAGAGTTTACCCGCACGCACCCGTCGTTTATGGACAGTTCTCGGAACTACATAACATAACAGAATATTTAACTCAATACAGTCAAATTTGCATCTTACTATATGAAACAATGTTATATCCTCCAATTGCTTACATCTAGAGTGGAGGGTTAGAAGCTTGTATCTACTGAGTAACTGTCGTATGGTAAATAAGATTTATGACATCTATAATGCATTGCGCGTTGAAACCGGTGTTGAACATTTTCGATTTTGTGTATATATTTATTATAATAAGGATTCCAAATGGGCATCCTATGGATATCCATTTGAAAGGCATTCCTCAAATAAATTTACTACACACACCACGTATTCCAAGAGATTCAAGCTGACGTAATAATAAAATAATGGAAACTGTGACAAAAGCCGTGGCAAGATCTAAAAATATACCTTTAGTTTTCTTGTCTTTGTCCAGTTTACTAACAATATAGTCAGTAGTAGTCATGGAGTGCATGACTAGTTGATTTATCTGGTCTAAAACCGAACTGACTTTTAAAAATAAAGTTATTTCCTTCTATGTATTCTTTTTTTTTTCAATTCATTGGGTAAACAAACAACATCACAATAACAAATGGTTATAATAGTGTTAACCTATTCATTATTGATAATTGTGACATCCACACCGTTTACCACGAGCATTATGAAGAAATTGTTTTTACAGGTTGACAGTTTTATTTATCTGTATGTTTTTCACTATTGTGTATAGTATACAGTATCATGCAGTTCCTTAATTACTAAGTTTCTGTAAACGCTTACACTATTTACAAAACGATTAACAAAACTACGAATTTACAAAACGACGAATAGGTGCACGCATGCCTGCGTTAGTGCGTGATGTTCGTGTGGCAAATAGGTGTTTCGAACGACAGGCTCGCATGTACGATCTAGTAGGCACTCTATAGTTAATATTATTGACAATATCAGACCAGTCGTACCTATTATGGCAAATGTCATACAATAGCATGGCTTGCATTTGTATTAGACTCCAAGTCTAAGAGTTCATATCTTTGCAATAGCTGGTGATATGACTGATAGTTATGACAGCATTTATAGTGCAAACAACGCAGAGATTTCTTTTGCATTCTTTCTAAGCTATCTGAGTATTTTATATAAAAAGGATCCCAAATACAAACAGCATATTCTAATTGTGAACAGATTAAGGTCTTATAAATATGTATTAGGACGTACGAAGTCATTACTGGCTCGGAGTACAAAACCATACATTTTATAAGCCCTACTCCTCCTCTACAATGCCAACAAAAAAAAAAAAAAACAAAAAACCCCCACCCCTGCAAAAAAACAAACCTTAACCCCCAAAAAAAACATTATTTTATCCCCCCCACCACCACAAACACCTTAAAAACAAATCCCTTTCCCCCTCCTATATTATCTCCCACCCTAAAAAAAAAAAAAAAAAAAAGGTGTTGTAGAAGGATAGTCCTATGCACTAGTGGATAGGTATTATTGTGCACCAGCCTCTCCATAAGTTTAGATAAAGTGGGAAGGATTGAAATTGGACGATAATTGACTACATCTCTATTTATCCCTCCTTTATGTATTGGTGTTATCCTGGCTGATTTCCACATAGCTGGAAATATACCCTCTGTAAGACATTTTTTATATAATGTAACCAACGGTTTACATATGGTTACGGCAGTATTTTTAATGAAAATAGGGGGAATGTTATCAAGGCCTGCGCCTTTAGTAGTATCTAGTGCCTTTAGTTCCTTTAAGACATCTGCTTCTGATAGCTGTATATCACTAATAATGGTGTCATTGAGCAAACCATTGTCTATATCATCTATATGGTCAATACAGAAGAAGTCAGATACATTAGTCGGCTGGAAAACGGAATGAAAGAAGGAAGAAAACAGGTTACAAATGCCCTCAGGACTATCCGCCTCTGTTCCGTCATAGTGAACACTATTTGGAATATCTGATTGGTTTTGACAATTTTTATGTAAATCCAAAAGTATTTAATATTTTTAAGAATACTGTCTTCTACTGATTTCATATATTTGTTATAACAAATCAATGATTCTTTCCTAAACCTATCCCGATACATTGAAAATGTAGAATAATCAGATTTGTTTTTTTATACTTTCCACTTAATCCAAGCTTTGTTTTTATTCTTAAATATGTGTATCAATGCAGGGGTAAACCATACTGGAAATTTTGAGTTGGAATCCCGTTTAGAGGGAACGTATTTACATATAAGATCAAATATATTTTCATAGAAAACGTTAACACTTTCTTCGGCAGTTTTATTTTGAAATAGTTCACATCACTTAATTTCTAATATATCGTTATTGATTTGTTTATAATTAGCATTCTTGTAACAATATCTTAAACGTGGATTTGTTGGCATGGGTTTGGATAAGTTATTATCAATTGGTATTTAGAGGTAATAAGGAGGATGATGTACGTCAGGTGGGACTAGAGTGATAGGCGCAGAAAAGGTTTTACTGTTATGTACGTTAGTTAGGCATAAATCGAGTAACCTATTCATATTATTTTTAAAAATATTCACTTGTATACAGTCCATAACGGATATGAAATTTACTAAGTGAGAATATGGTGGCGTAATATTGGTTAAACCTAGAAGTTTTGCTTGAGTTCCATCTAGATACCAGTCAAGACAAGGCAAATTGAAATCGCCAATTAAATAATAGTTATCATATCCATTTAACTGTATAATCTCTTGTAGTTTATTAAAATAAGTAAAATATATATCAGAATCTAGACTGGGTGGTATGTAATTCGCGCTTAATAAATAATGAGACTTACCGATGCGAAATTCTAATAGAATATGATCTATGATAGGTGGGATATCGAGGGGGGAAGCGGGGGAGTGCGGGCACGCAGCGCACTGCACACAGCGAGCGCAGCACGTCCACCAACACACCGCCACCATCGTGACGTTTTGTTACAGTGCGATCTCGGTCGCAACGGAACACGTTGTAGCGAGAATCCACAAATTCATTGTTTACAATGTAATCATGTTACCAAGTCTCGGTTAATATTATAACATCATAATTATGCGATAATATTTTCATGTAAATAGTATTTAATTTAGTTCTCAAACCGCGGCAATTTTGATAGTAGACTGATAATACATTGTTATTTATGTTATTGAATTTTGTATCGAAAAATATATGGTATTGCAAACAAATCGTAAGAGCCACAGTGGGTACAGAGTATGATATTCAGTATAAATGCACACGTTGAATTGTAGGAACATGGACTTTGTTTATTAATTAATTTAAGTATCGGTAACAACAACAGATAAAAAACAATTATGCGTACCTGAATAGATATTAATGTTATGCCGTGAGTATTATGATTGGAAATAATAAAAGTAATTAGAATTTTGGAAGAGTAATTAAGCAGTGCAGATATGTAACAATTTTACCAAAGTGTATGGTCTTTCATATAATACTAATAGGATATTAATTAAATTTAAAAGAGTGCTCTTTAAGTCTGAGACACGAAGGTACAAAAAAATTACACCATATGTATCTAGTCTATTGTAATAACAATATTTACTTATAAAAGTGTGATTACTTATAATAATAAAATATGTGGGACGTTAACTTAACCATTTGGGAATATATATTTTCTTGTGACACATAATGTCACGATAAAAGTTGGTTATTTTTACATATGTAGGCGTAAATAATTTATTTTTAAACCCGTTTATGACGTTGCAATGCTGCCTGTTATCATCCGGGTGTTATTCATTTGATTCGTGCAATGTCTTGGAGGATCTGATTGCGATAGCAGGTCAAGTATCCGTCTTGCGAGCCAGAACGGTGCCATGTTTAACCCATACATATTTATATTCGTTTTCCTTAGCAGCCTCCCGGCACTGACGAAACAACAATTTGTTATTCAACGTTAAATGCTCGTTAACGTAAATGGTAGCAGGCTGGCCAGGTACACACAATGATGTTGAATTTAACCCTTTTGTAGCACGGCAGGCGGCAATCACATTGTCGCGCAGTGTCCTGTTTGCGAACTTTACTATAACATTCTTCGGACGTCGATCATTTTTGTCAGCATGAGGTACACGATGAACGGCTATTATGTCGGATGATTGTAAAGGATGCTTAATGGCATCGCCCAAACACTCCATCATGCTGATTAGATTCTCACCTAGCCTGTCGGGGATATTAGCTATTTCGACATTGCACTGTCTTGCTTGCTGTTCCATGGTATGTATTTTGTTCTCAAGTAGTTGTATTTGAGTTTTAAAGCTATTATATTGTGATATATTCTGTTCTACAGTTTTCAGTCGACCGTCAAATAAGTATTCGACTATCGACTCTTTTATTGACTATGCGTTCCATAAGCTTAAAGATGGATGGAAGTATCGATATAGGCCTGTAGTTGTTGACACAGTTTCATTTACCTACCTTGTAAATGGAATATACCATAGATGTAAATATACCTTTGCATGAACAGTTGTTAAATATATGGGTTAAAGGAGGAAAGAACATGTGTTTGAAATCTTTAAGGACCGTCGACCACGATTGAAAAAAAAACTTAAAGATACCTGTCATCGTGGTCATCCTCGTTGCTTCCTGAACCGGTGTTGGTTGGCCGGTCGTCGTGTAAGGCGGTTTCTGCCAGTTGCCTCGTCTGCGCAACATTCTCAATGACAACGGCAGTCGTCACACCGGTTAGAGGATCTCCGGAAATGGGAGGCTTTTTAGCAGCTCGTTGCTTTTTCGCTCGTTTTCTAAGTGCCTGTTGAAATATAAAATAAAAAGTAAGGTCGATAATTGTTTTATAGAATAAGGGTGACAACTGAGCACATAGCCCACCTGATGGTAAGTAGATGCTGTGGCCTACAGACATCTACATGTATCTTAGATTAAGAACCAAAATTCAGATGCGTTGTCAACTCTGATGAATACGATGTAATAACTCGTGCCCAGTAAAAAAGGTCTCAGATTTTCTACACTCACTATACGAAACACAGCAACATTGGGTTGCTATTTTACGCTGGTAGTTCTTCCTGGGTTGAGCCGATCCATTCCGAAAATACCGACCAAAAAATAAATAAATGTAGTATAACATAATAATATTTCATAATAATAATTTTCGGTCTCGTGGACCGGAAATTGCCGTATTACAAGTACTTGCCGGAAGCCGTGCTCGAAAATGACCGCGCCAGGCTCTACTGGGACCAGACCATCATCACAGATAGGACTATTCTTGCGAATAAGCCTGATATTGTGCCGATGGACCGGGCATAGTCAAGAATATTTTTGGTCGACATTACCATTCCGTATGACGAGAATCTCCTGATAGCCGAAATGGACAAGCAAACAAAATATCTAGACCTGGCTCACGAGGTGACCGAAATGTGGGGTGGTCTGCCGGCCGAAACTATTCCTGTAGTTGTCTCTGCGAATGGGCTAGTACCGGTCAGCCTTTCGGGTCATCTGAGGCGACTGGGACTTCACGACTCCGCTCCAGGCTCAAATACAGAAGGCGTGCTCCTCGATACCGCCCACATCGTCCGCCTGTTTCTTTCCTTTTCCCCCTGGCCCTCGGCTTGGTCTCCCCTGCCGAGGGCCTCCATCTGGTTGGCCTTTTACTTATTTATGTCTTATTTATTTATTTATGTTAATATATTAAATATATATAAATGTATATTTATCATTTCCTTTTATATATTTATTCAGCCGAACCAGATGAGAATACACTATTAATACCCCATAATAGTAATTTATTTGAAACAGACAACACTGATCCATTACAAAATTTAATTTAAAGATTACACCATAAATAATAATTCTTATAATTGTTTAATCAATCAAAATATGAAATATTATTATTTAGATATTAATAAATTTGACCACCTCATAAAAACTTCACTAAATGCACAAATATTACAAATAATTTTAATGAGATTATTCTGCGACCCAAACAGAGAACTTCTAAATCGCGCGATACGGTGACGGATCAGCGCATCCAAACCAGCGACACATAATATAGCTGCAACATTGCTCTACTACGCAAAAACATAAAATATGGAAGGTAGATTAAATTGTCTTATTGAGACTAGCAATAAATAATGTCTGGAAATTTACACACGTAGTTTATGATTTACGTTGTTCTGTCAAGAAGTTATTTACTGGCCGACACAAGTTTTATCTTAAAAGGATTGCTTGATACTAATGTCCATATTGAAAGGAAAGAATTTAGCCATATTTTTACTTATTGTTCATAAATTAGCATTTTTTATTTCTCATATGAAATTAATTAATTTTTAAATTACATGAGAATGTGTTTCACATATTATTTGCTAACTGAGGGGTAGCATATTAAACATAATATTAAAAATATCTCAATTTTTTATAGAAAAAAGGTGACAATCGAACATCAAGATTCAAAATGCTGATGCATTATCACCACTAAGAACTTAGATAGAATGCATCGTTACCAGAAATATTCAATGATAGGTTAACTGGTAGAGAATGCCTCACGGCATTAAATCCGACCTTTGTAAATAAGTAAACAAAAACATCTTTAATGTAGCAAATTCCAGAAAAATAGCGCCTTATTCTATTAATTAATGCATCGTTCTGCTATTAGACATCGATCTTCTTGTTTATCTAACAGACCGATGGGCGCAGGCAATTGAGTCCAAGGGGAAGGCTTTGGTGATTAGCTTGGACATAGCGAAGGCCTTCGATCGGATCTGGCACAAAGCGCTTCCTTTGAAGCTCCCTTCCTATGGGCTTTCCGAAGAATTGTGCAATTTGATCACCAGTTTCCTTGCTGATCGGAGCATCAAGGTTGTAGTGAACGGTACATGTTCTGATTACAAGCCTATACACGCTGGTGTTCAACAAGGTTCAAGGCACTCCCCTTGTTGCCTCAGCCAGTATTAGAATCCTCGGCGTTGACATATCAAATGACCTGCATTTTCGTGGTCACTTGGAGTAGAAGGCCAAATTGGCCTCTAAAAAACTCAAACTCAACTGAGCGGGATAGTATGTTATGCCAGCACACCACCTACAACTTTACAAGGCGCAGGTTCGGCCTCATATGAAATACTGTCCCAATCTCTAGGCTGGGGTTCCCCAGTGCCTGAGTGTGTGTGACAAAGAGCACATAGTCCATCTGATGGTAAGTGGTTCTGTGGCCCATAGACATCTACATATATCCTCAATTACGATTCAAAATGCAGATGGGTGATGGTCTCCCGTGAGGAGTTAGATAGAATTCCTCGTTTTCAGTAAAATGGGCATCAGGATCTTTGCACTCACCATACGGAACACAGCAGTAATGATCTGCTATTTTACGCTGGTATTCTGTGAGAACGTGGTCTTTCCGCAGTCAAACAGACCCATTTTTGCTGCAGCTATATTACTAATATAGCTGCAGCATAGCTCTTCCTCGTAAAACCATCCACTTTACCACATCTATCGCTGAGCGCAATTGCATTTTCTTTCGCATCTACCACGGGGAGTGCTCTGAGGGAAGGTTTAGATTAATTCCAGCCGCCAAATTTCACGAACGCACATTGCGGCTAATCTCCAGATTCCATCCACATCATTTGGATGCTTGGTGGTCGACCACTGTACGTTTTACTAGAAATTTTCTTCCTCGTATGACTTTTATGTGGAATAGTTTACCACAAGCAATTTGTCCGGACCGATACGACTTAGGGACCTTCAAGCGACTTCAGACGAAAACAGGTGCCGGCCACAGCCAGGTCCAGATATTTCGTTTGCTTATCTGTTTCGGCTTTCACGAGGTTCTCTTCATAAGGAATAGAAAATAAATATCGACTAAAATATCCTTGACAGTGCCCGGTCCATCAACACAATATATTTTTATTATTATTAGTTTTTATTTACACTGAAATAAGAGGTGAGTTAGTAGTTCTTTTTTCGGATTTACTATAATATTTGTTTTTAGTTTTGGTACTTATCACATTATTTCCAAACGTCCTGGGTTGACTGGGAGAGAATGTCAAAAGGAATTGAGTCTGCCCTTTCGTAATCCGTTTTAATTAAGGTGTACAATAAAGTATATATAAATAATTTAATAATTAAGAAGTAGTCATTTAATATATATTAACATGGTTATTTTGTCTATTGTGTTTTCATACACTGTAATTATCTTTTTTATTAAATAGCGCTTTAGCTAACGTATTATGTAAATCTAAGACATGTTACTAAAAAAATCATGCTCAGAAATAATTTCATATTTTGTGTCAGGAAAGTAGTGTACTGTTGTTACACAAATGTTTCGTATGCGATACACAATCATATAAATTGATCCATTATAATATAGATATCTACATAGTTTTGTTGGCAGTGTAGTAAAACAATATTTTCTTTGAAACAAGGATATCAGAAAATATTACAACTTATAAATATTTTCCTGGCCGATCCAAGAAACAATTTTCTTGAGTGTTTTGATTTCGATATTAGTACAAAAGCTTGCTTTTTTAATAACAATATATCATCATCTTGTACAAATTTCACACTCTTTTTACAGGATATGAGGCATTCCATCTTAGCCCTCAGGTATAACAGCGCATCTACATTTTAATTCTCAATCGAAGATAAATGTAGATTTCTATGTACTACAGCATCCACTTACCATCAAGTGGATTGTATGCTAGTTTGTTACTCTAATTGAAAAAAAATATGTTATTTTTAAATTATTATATTTTTTAATTATAATTGAATACTCACCTTAAATATATTATAATACAGAAACATCATCATTATACAAGGAATATAGAAAGATCCAATCGATGAATATAATACATAGTTCTGACTGTTGAAGAGACATTCGTCGAAGTTGCGGTCGGGTGTATCGTTGAGACCGAGTACTATCGGGGCGCCGATGGCAGCAGAAATAAGCCATACGAGGACTATGGTGAACCACACACGTCTATTGTTCTTGTGCTTTGCATATTTTATTGGTTGTGTAACAGCGATATACCTGAAAGCATAAAAAGGATATTTATTATAATTATTATTATTCTTTTCAAATATTTACAAATTTTTAAACACATTTCTATTTCATTTCCATTAGTTTTGATTAAGAAATTTGTACTGAACAGATAAACAAACAAACAGACAGAAAGTGAGCTCATTTTGCATTGTTTTTCAGTTCTGGGCTATAGTTAAAGATTAACGTATCTAGATCAAAAGCTCTAGAGAAAAGATAGCAAGTTAATAAAAACGTGGTAATTAATAATAATACACCACCACGTTTATATTAAACCGATATGTTATTTATTATTATATATAGATATGTTATGAGGATGCCTTTTTTGCTATACGAATTATGACCGATAAAGAAAGCAGTTTGATTCAAATGAGGTATGTCGACAACAAAGGGATAGAAACCAGCCGAGCGTCGGGTGATGTAATGGAGAAGGAGAAACAAAGTTATTCAATTCCTGTGCACTTTTTGAAATCCAGTAAAAAACCGAAGAGATCACTGTTTGGCGCTTGTGATCCAGGTGTGTAAGATTGGTCCTTCACTGTTAACACGTCTTTCCATTGAGTCTAAAGCCACTAGGTGGCATTTGCAGCATATTGCAAACATCAATCCAGCTGCAAAACATAACGTATCACCACAGTGAAACACGGGATTAAAAAGCCGCTAAAGATTTTAGGGAAATACCGCCTTCCAAATGTTTTCAGAAGCTCAACTACGACTATAACTCGGTCCTCTATCAGGGCTTTATCGCTTTTAAGGCTCCTGAAGTTTCAGTCTAGATTAATCTAAGTAATCTGGTTTAAAATAGTGTCAGATAAGACTTTTCAGGACAATGGGTCGTTAAAATATATGTTAAAACCTATGTTAAGACATATGTATGTGTGTGGTTTCCACTTAAATGTAGTGGTATGTGAAATAGATGTACAAAGTTAAAAAGCAAGTAATATATTTAATTTTAGCAGGAAAAAATATAGACTTTTAAAAGTACTTTTAAAACATATCACAGTACTTTTCAAAGTCAAAAGTTTGTTTTAATACTAAATTTGTGGGTGATAGAATAATTTTGCGGCGTTTTGTTAATGCAGAACGATTGGGTCGTCTGTACCTGGGAAAGAAAACATTTTCTGATAAAAAATTTAATTTTTTTTAAATTAAATTATTTTATTTTTGAGATAATGAGAATTATGAAAGTTCGAAGGAATAAACTCCGAAGAGATTTTCGAAGAAAAAATTGGTTGTGCACGTAAAATAGGTTGAAAACGATTTATTGAAGAAGAGGAATGTACATACTGGAGTACGAGAGGTTATTAGAATAGTTTTCGCTATTAATTAACTATTAGACTAAAGAGGCCTACGCCCATAGAATAACAGCTTTCAATGGGCGGAATAAGCTGTGTTCTTCATTGCTTGAAATTGGTGGAGGCCCATGGACTTCAGAACCCATTTACTAACAGTTGAACTATTAGCCTGGTTGTTACTGTAATATTTAGAGAATTAAATAAAATGTAATTTAAGTGCGTAAGTAGGCACGTACGTACGTACATTTACCAAGAAAAATGTAATTACTACAACACAATTGTGTTCTTCGCTTTAATTTATTCACAAAGGAAGAATCGTAACATAATGAACAAATTTTTTTGTTCAAATTCCCATACCTCAGGTACTACAGGAATAAAAAACAATTTATTATTTCCAGGGTTTATGTAAAGTAATGTATTAACATAATTAAAATCTTCTAAGGAAAATCTTTTTTAATATTTCATCGACCCAACATCGCGGAAACAGTCCGTTGTAAACGAGCATCTCCCGTATTAGAATAATCTTAAAATATGTTATACAAACACAATTATGTATATAAACAAGTGTAAAATATAATATAGAAAAAACAGGAGCAGAAATAAGATAAAATGGTGTGCACTTATTGAGCTATAGATATTGTATGCGACTATTGGTAGTCAGCACCGCATAAAGTTATTACACCGTTGTTATCCATGCTATCTGAATACTTGTATGGTCCACCACTGTGCTATTACACCACTACTAGAACATTTACTCGTCTCACGACTTCTTTGTGGAATCGTTTGCTACCTTAGATTTTCCCTTGGAGCTTGAAGAAACGAGCTTATTCCTTTTTAACAGTCCGACAACGCACCTGTAACTCCCCTGGTGTTGCAGTTATTTATAGGCGGCGGTCGACATATACAATCAGATGAGCCGCATGGTCAGTTTTTTAAATTTATTTATCAGAAGAAAAAATACATTCAGATATAGGTTTAATTAACATCGATGCTAAATTATTAAGTTTAAGTGTTCATATTATGTACAAATCACAGTCTAAGTAAGTAGTTGGGTATGTGAGTAGGTAGAAGGTGTGTAAGAATATAATAATGTCCTCCAGACCGAATTTCGGCCGCGGTGGCGTGCCTCAACGGAGGCTAGCCAACGGCACAGGACAGAATTATAGTGCCCAAGTTATGCGCAAGCACAGGTGAATAGTCTCACTCTCATAATCCGATGGGACAGTAAACCGACACGACCGGAGAGAGATCAGGCGCCGGACCAACGGCTTTACGTGCTTTCCGAGGCACGGGAGTGAGACACCACCAACTTCCTGACTCCGGGCAGCTACTAAGAATTTCTTGACAGAAAAACTCAATCATTGGTTTTTTATCTAGACCCGGGATTCGAACCCAGGACTTCATGATCAGCAGTCGCACTACTACAACCGCTAGACCAATGAGGCAGTCAGAATATAAAGGCTTAGTTAAAGTCAGAAGTAGCAAGTTAAAAGTAAGAACTAGGCAGGTAGGTAAATTATTATTAAGTAAGTATATATAGTACTAGGCTGCACTAAAAGTATCGGGAATGGAATATTTCCACTGTTCCTGTCATATTAAAACCTTTTTAATTGAAAACTCCTTGGTTTTAAAAATCGAATTCCATTTATTTATTTAAAAAAAGATTCTCGGTCTTGTCACAAGGTTTTGTCAAACTTGTTTAGTCGTTGAGAAAATGGAATTGACTCGAGAAAATTCAAGAGCGATGATTTATTATGACTTTCGAAGTGGTTTAACACAAAAACAGTGTGTTGACCGGATGATTTCTGCATTTGGTGATGAAGCCCCATCCAAAACCACAATTTATCGCCGGTTTACTAAATTTCAACGTGGACGTGTCAAGCTTAGTGATGATCCCCGTCATGGTCGTCCAAAAACTGTAGTCACCCAAGAAAACGTTGATGCTGTGCGTAAGCTGATTGAGAAAGATCGACATGTGACATACCGCGAAATTCAGGCAACTTTAGACATTGGCATGAGTCAAATACAAATAATCTTGCATGAACAATTAGGTGTAAAAAAGTTGTTTTCCCGATGGATTTCCACTTTTCTTCACTCTTCTTTTCACACACATTCACTCTGTGAGAGCAAGAACTCTCGAAAGATTCCACGCAGGATCCTCAAGTGCTGTATACAACATCATATCAGATGAAGAATCCTGGATATACACGTACGAAACCGAAACAAAAAACCAGTCACGAGGTTGGATGTTCGAAAATGAGTTAAAGCCAACAAAAATTGTTCGTTCACGGAGTGTTGCAAAAAAAATGGTGCCCACGTTTGTCTCCAAAACCGGCCATGTTACGACTATTCCTTTTGAGGGACAAAGAACGATTAATGCAGAATGGTATGCTAGCATTTGTTTGTCACAGATCATTTCTGAACTCCATAAAGAGAACTGCAACCGCCGCATCATCCTCCATCACGACAATGCGAGTTCTCACACCGCACACAGAACAAAAGAGTTTTTAGAGCAAGAAAACATAGAATTATTAGACCATTAGCCGTACAGCCCCAACCTAAGCCCTAATGATTTCTATACTTTCCTTAAAATAAAGAATAAATTGCGTAAGAGATTTTCATCACCTGAAGAAGCTGTGGACGCCTACAAAACGGCCATTTTGGAGACCCAACTTCCGAATGGAATGGTTGCTTCAATGATTGGTTCCGTCGTATGGAAAAATGTGTCAAATTTCGCGGAGAATACTTCGAAAAGCAATAAATACATTTTTAAACAGTAATGTTGTGTCCCTTCCTTGATTCTCGAAATTTTCAGTGCCGCCCTCGTAGGTAATTATAATTAAGATAGAAAAAAGCTTTTGAGTTTAGTTTTAATGTCTTGTTGTAATATTTTTTCACGTACATCGAAAGATATGCGGTACATGATAAGCGGCCGTCCACTGCCCGTACACATTATTAGCAGTGATGTGCCTGAGTTGGTTTTGAGTCATTTGTCTCCCTCTTCTATAAAAAAGGTAGCACTAATTTTATGGGTCAATCCTTAACTTGTTATTTGACTTTTGGAGCATTTAGTGGAGGTGTAATAATATCTACTTTCACATATCGTCACGTGAGTGTCGTAAGAGGTGACAGAGGGAAACGAACCCGGGAATGAGCAGACGCGGCTTCCCAATAAAAACTTAAAAATAAAATCTTGCGGTTGTCGATGTCAATGTGTAAGCATGGCCACTATGGCAAATATCCCCTTAGAATCAATCTGCAAGAGAAATCCATTTTCAGCAGTGGACTTTTGATGAGCTTTTACGGAAACGGTATCTTTACCTACAACTTTTTCTCCTTCATTATCATTGGTTTGTAAAGTAGTAAGTCCAGTGTTGGAGATAAGCCCCTCCAATTTTGGGGGATAATTTTCCTCAAACATCACTAGGTAGGTAGGATTGACGTTTGCAGTACCAGACGTCTCGCACATTAGACCATGAGGCCTGGTTATTTTGATTGGATTATTTTACACCTAATGTAAGGAGTTGGTTATACCATCACCTATAGGAAGTCAAAAGACTTGGCGTTTTCCATAGTTACCTTTTACGACACCATCGGGGCGGAAACAGGTGATGGTGCTCTATCAGCGCCACCTCAAAAAAATAATGATGATTTATTGATAAATTCACTTATAAATCTTCCTCTATGTCAAATTCAGTATTTAAATGCTACTCTCACTGAACTAAACAAGTATTACCTGTCGACGGAAATAGCCACCAGGTTGAATATACTGGAAGTGGAAGACGTGACGTCCATGGCAATGTAAACGTCGCAAATGAACGCCGGGAGACCCCACGAGCCGTTAACCTGCGGACAATGTAAAACAAATGTAACTATTATGTTCGTATTGTTATTTTGCAATGATTTTTTATGATACTGCACAACTGCAACCATCTTGAAGGCTATAGGTACGCCGTCACTTTTAAGGCTTAGGTGGTATGTATTACATCCTGTTAATATACAGACTTTCTATAACCTTTAGACCAGAAAAAAGCAGTGCAAGTATTGCTATTTTGCGGTAGGAATAGGTAAGAAGGGGGATAAGTCGCTCGCGTCCGTAGGCTTTGATCACCTATTCCTAGTAGGCTGTAGGGTGGCTACACGTGTACCCCGGGTGGTGCTAAATGAGCGACAAACCGATAGCACAGACTCGGCTCCACGCCGTGGTAGCGGCGTAAAATATACTAAGTACCCCATATTTCGCACCATGAGGAACCAAAGAAAAGAAATTGCCCCGAGTTCCCGGCGCCCCTTGAATGGGGCAGGGGTGCGAAGAATTTCCGGGAGGAAAACCGGCGACGAGGTTTGCCACCCATCACATTCTGTCTCCCAGAGAGGCGAAAAGTGGATTGCAGAGGCCCGTCTCGCTACGTTGAATGTATGTGGGGCAATGAATGATAAAATGGATGAAGTATGCGATATGATGTATGATAGAGGAATAGATGTATTATGTGTAAATGAGACGAAAAGGAAGAGGAAGGATGTATCTGCACATGGCATGTATACCGCATACTGGTCTTGTGTAGACGAGACCGAGCGAGCATGCCAGGGAGTCGGTATCATCCTTTCAGAAAGAATGGGCCGATGTGTGAAAGAGTATCAATGTGTAAGTCCGAGACTGCTATGGATACGAATAAAAGTGGGCCTAAAGAAGTTGTTTGTTCTTAGGGGTCTACGCCCCAGACACGTCTAAGCCCACTTGTATCCGAGAGCAGTTTTGGAAAATGGTAAGGATGGTGTTAATGAAGTGTAAGGGAAATGAAAATATTATTATGTTAGGAGATTTTAATGGAAGGGTTGGGGTGAGGTGGCTTGATTATGAAAGGATATTGGGAACGCTTGGTGATGAAAGTATAAGTGAGAATGGTGAAATTCTCCTCACCGTATGTATGGAAAATAATCTTTTTGTGACGAACACTTGCTTTCGCCACAAGAGGATTCACATGTATACTTGGGAAAGAGGTGACGATTTCATAATTGTGGATGAAAGATTGAGGGGCGCAGTGGTAGATACAAGGGTTTACCGGGGTTCTAACGTAGGAACGGATCATTATTTGGTTTTATGCCGAATTAATGGTCTGTTCAGGCGTTGGCCCATCGATCATCTGTGTCTACCACTGCGTTACAGCGTATTAGAACAGAAAAGTTACAAGATGAAGGTGAGAAAAACAAGTTCAAATGTAGACTGAAAGAAAATATAAGTGGTTTGGATGAATTATGTATGAAGGAGTTAGACTTGGAGAATGTATGGCAAAATGTAAAGAAAGGTTTAGTGGATGCAGCTACCGAAGTATGTGGTGTTAGTAACAGAAATAATGAAAGGAAAAATAATTCGTTATGGTGGGATGATGAGATACATATGTAAGTTGAAGCAAAGAAGAGAGCATGACTAGATTAACTAGCAAAAAAGGCTGGTAATTCTGGCGAACGAATGATGATATTGAAAGAAAAAGGCGGTCTTTAGACATCTAAATAAGAGAGTAAAAGAAGTAGTTAAAGGAAAAAAGCAAGAAAGAACGGATAAGAATGATAGAAGAATATCGGATAACTTCCAGGCAAATATTAAAATGTTCTGGAAACTTGTAAAAACTACCAGAGGATATTCAAAACAGCCTATGATGAATGCTATAAGAGACGAGAATGGCTATATTCTGAATGATGAAGTTTTGAGTTTAAAGAGATGGAAGGAATATTTTGAAAGCGTGTTTATGAAGGAGGAGACAACGTGTGTACTAAGTGAAGTAGAAACTCCGAAAGAAGAGGAAAGAGGTAGCGAGATAAGTATAGATGAAATAATGAAAGCAATGAAAAGCATGAAAGCAGGTAAGGCTGCCGGATATGATAGAGTTTCACTCGAAATGCTAAGGGCTGAAGAGGAAGTGGTGGCAGGCCTGCTGCACCGGTAGACTGGTTCAAAGCCGTGATAGTCCCAGTATATAAAAGAAAAGGGTCGCAGCAGGACTGTAAAAACTACCGTGGCATCAGCCTTCTTAGCATTGTGGGAAAACTGTATGCTAAGGTACTGATTGAAAGGGTCATGAAAGAAACTGATGAAAAAATTTGGGATGTGCAAGCGGGATTTAGAAAGGGAATGGGATGTACAGATCAAGTCTTTTCCATGCGCATGATTGCGGAGAAGTTTTTGGCCAAAAACCAAAAGGTTTTTTGTGCTTTCATGGACTTGGAAAGGGCCTATGACAGAGTGGATAGGAATATGCTATGCAAACACTGAACTCATTTGGGTTGAGCGCTGGATTGATATAGGCATTGGAGTCTCTTTATAGGGACTCTAGTGCTTGTGTTAGGATCAACGGGGACTACTCGGACTGGTTTGGCATCCATAAAGGAGTCAGACGGGGCAGTGTGGCTTCCCCGTGGTTGTTCAACCTATTTATGGACAGTAGTTTGGAAAATTTGAAAGCTGAAGAATGCGGATTAAGAATGGGTGAGTTAACCGTCAAATTACTTTTATACGCCGATGATCAAGTTATTCTTACATCGTCGGTGGCCGAGTTGCAAATGATGGTTACATTAATGAAGAGATCATTAAAAGAAAGGGGTATGAAAGTAAACGCAAGTAAGACGAAAGTTATGGTTTTTGAAAGAGAAGAAAGTAAAATGATTTTTAAAATAAGAATAGAAGGGAGTACATGATTTGTACATTAGGCTCCGTGGGAGATATGATAAGGATATAGAACGACGAGTGAATGCGGGAAATAGAGTAAATGGGGCCTTGCACTCTATTGTGAAGAGTTAAAATGTGACGAAAAAGGCACGTATAGCAATTCACAATGCTGTATTGGTCCCTACTTTAACGTATGGTAGTGAAAGTTGGGTGTGGCAGAAGAAGCACAAGAGTAGAATGAACGCAGTAGAAATGCGGTCGTTAAGGAGTATGTTAGGGCTGAATCTGAATGACAGGGCAAGAAATTGTGTAACAAGAGAAGAGTGTGGTTTGCAAGATGATGTTGTGACCAGGATTAAAAAAGGAATGCTTCGGTGGTTTGGTCATGTGGAAAGAATGAATGAGGAAAGAGTGACAAAGAAAATTTATGTTGCAGAAGTGAATACCAGAGTCGGAAATGGACGTCTAGGCGAAAATTTATCGACCAAATTGGCGATTTATTGAAAACGGGTCAAATTAGGAGTACCCTTAACCGACGAGCATGTATGCGTAGGTGTATGGATGTGAAGGAGGCGAGAGAGGTGTATCAGGATCGTGCCAAAGGGAAATCTGTAGTCTCTGCCTACCCCTCTGGGTGACAGGCGTGAGTGTTTATGTATGTATGTATATGAATAGGTAAGAGTATAATGCCTACCCGAACGCATACATAAACAGAATTGGTACATTTCATTGTAGTAACGGAATTGCCGTTAACGTTACCGTTATAGTCTATTAAAGTTCACAGCTGAACATAGGCTTCCCCCATAATCTGCCTAATAGGGGGGATATTTGCCGTCGCTGTCACGCTTGGCAAGCGGTTTGACAACCGCACTTTTTTATTTTTAGTCGTTATTAGAAAGACGCTGCTCTCTCACTCGATGAATTAACTTGAGCTTCCTCATACGACTAGCAGTGAAGGACCACATTTCAGATCCATATGTTATCAATGACAACTGGAACTGCTTTTAAAAGAGTTTACACTGAACAAAAGTGTGTCTCGAAGTTGTGAGGTGTGAGGAACATCTTCTCGTCACGAACACCTCTACCTAATATTCCAAACGCTACCCAATCGCATTAGATCTGTTTATAGACCTTGGTCAAATTTAGATTTACCTAGAAGGACAATTGTTTCCTAGTAGATAGATACTCGTCAATAACTTAGAGCGTAATGTAACAATTACCGGCATAGGTGTATGTTTTAAGTAGATGTAACAAGGATGACACAAGTGATCATGTCAAGTCCATGTTCAACTTGTTGTAAATTCATATATATGTAACAATATACATTCACGCATAAACGTATACAAATATAAATTAATATATATTTCTGGATACGATTTAATAAATTTTTAAAATTGAAAATAGTACCGAGGTATGAAATCAATTTGACAAAGGTTTTATTTAATAATCCGCTCTGGGCTAACAAGCTCTTCAGCTATATTTTGCATATTATTCAACATTCATTTAATTTACGCATGCAAAATTTATTTAGTTTTATTTAATATTAAAATTGAATAAAACCAATGAACAAAAATATCACAATTATAAATATTTACATCCATTTGAAGTGTTTCTAACGTTATCTTTATGTGTTTATTTTAGCATAGGGAAATAAACTTTTTGAAACCAACTTAATACATACAGTCTTGAAACCAACCCGCGACCCTTAGCATCACAGAAGGACGCTTAACTACGAAGATATATCTACCAATAATTTTTCTAGCTTTAAAATTAATATCATCATCATAATCATCATCATTACAACCCCTCACACACATCAAAATTACTATGTTCATGAACATATAAATAGTCCACTGTTAAACATACTTTTTCACTGAGTAATGTCTTTGTAAGTATATCCACTACCTTAATTCGTCCAGTGGGTTTTGTAAGAAGCGAAAGAGGGAAACAAATCAGCAGTGAGGCAGCAGCGTCTGCATAATAACTGCTAGAAAAAAAATCTGGTTGCCAACACGCGTGACATGCGCGGCATCTATGGCAAATATCTCCCTTCTTAGCAATTTATAGTGAGGCCTATGTTCAGCAGTGGATTTTCATATTTGTATGACATTTATGAATGAATTATGTATGCATTAACAACATTAATTCTAACTTAATTTTGCTAACTTCTTTAACTCAATAG